AGAGGAGCACCATGGGACAGAAGCTGCTGGGCTGATGTCCGATATGCCTCTCTATCAGACCACCGTCCAGTTCTGATGGACGTGATTGCGACGGATGTAATTGAAAGGGAAAGACCCCCATTCCGACTGAATGTTAACCTTCTAAAAGATGAAGGTATTAAAGAGTGGGTTACAGACCATATGAAGAACTGGGAATTGGCGAAGGACTTGTTCAGCGACCTACTGGAATGGGCAGAGGTAGGGATAAACATAGTCAGAACAGCTCTTATCAATTTTTCTAGAATGAAAGCGGCTTCCCGCTCCTGGAAAGAAAAACAATTGAAGGAGGTGATTACTAGAGCGGAAACCATGACTGGGGGGGACCCCTTTCTGGACTATTATTGGACTGAAAAAAGAAGCTCTGCAGTTTTGGAGTTAGAAAAGCTAGAAATTAAGAGACAACAAGAATGGCTAGATTGGTTAAAGGTTAGAGGAGTCATTGGCTACGATAGAATGACTAAGTTAACCTCTCGGTCCCTGCTTCTCAGACAGTCTCTGATTAGAGAACTGGCTCATCCATTTGCCATAGATTTTGCTTTGGCTACAGATACAGAGACAATGTGCTCATATGCATTTGAATATTTTAGCGACATTGTCACCACAAGACGCCCATAGGATACATGGGAAACCGATCTGTCACTCAACACGACGTTTTGGGAGAAGAGTAGGATAAGGCTGTCTCCTCACATGGCACAGGCACTGGACGAACCCTTCTCAACAGAAGAATTGGGAAGGGCAGTCAAACAAATGGCTGCTGGTAAATGTCCAGGGCTGGATGGCCTCCCAGTAGAACTGTTTGTGGAATGCTGGGAAGCATTTGGCCCCTTCTTGACCGAAATTTATAATAATGTGAGAACTCAGGGCATACTTCCAGCGGGATTTCTAAAGGGCTACATCTTCCTCCTTTACAAAAAAGGGAGTAAATCGGAGGTGAGGAATYACAGGCCTATCTCTGTCTTAAATGCTRCCTATAAAATACTAGCCAAAGCGCAGGCAATTCGTCTCGCTGAGTTCCTSCCATCTCTAGTWGGGCAGGAACAAGGGGCTTTTGTAAAAGGTCGAACGATCTTTGATAACATTATGTCAACCCTGCAAGCACTGGAGATCATTGCCACGCTGAGTAACCGTATGAACGCCGTGAACGCGCGTTCACATTCAAACGCGCGCGTTCATACCCCCCTGCCCCGCGTTCAATCGCGTTCAAACGCGCTACGTGCGCGCGCGTGCGAAAAAATTGAACGCGGTTCCGCGGGGCGCGCGCGCGCGACGGGGGCTACGGGGTGGTGGTCCGAGTTCAACAGAACCCCAGAGTGCGAAAATCGCCCCCCGGGGACCGCCCGATAGCCCCCCCGCCCCACGGCCCCCTGGCAGCCCCACCTCCAAAACCACACCTGCCAAGCCCCGACACCCCTACCCCCACCCAACGGAGGGCCACCCACTCCTGCCACCTCCCCTCCGACCGTGCCTCTGCGCCACCCGGGGACGTTTTTTTTTTTTATCCCCACCCACAAATACAACCCCCCAAACCACGCCACCCATTTACACACACACACACACTGACACACACACACATTCACACACGCACATGCACACACAAATTCACACCGTCGCACACACACGGGCACTTTTTTTTTTTTCCGCCAACACGTACACCCCCCCCAAAATGCGCCACCCATTTACACACACGCATAATCACATTCACACAGACACACAAACTGCGACCTTTCGTTTATTTTTTTTCCAAAATATCTGTTTTCTTTAATTTTTTTTAAGCACAAAACAAGCGGTTAGAGTCTTAGAGAAATTTTGAAAAAGGGTTGCAAGCAAAAAAAAAAAAAAAAGGTGGTTTGGGCGTGGGTTCGGGGCCAGGGGTGGGGGCGGGTGGCCAGGGGGGGCTACGGTATGGTTTGGGTGAGATTTTAGAGAAACCAAGGGCGGACTCAAAGCACACAAAACACTCGTCGTCTGGAAACAGAAACATCGCAAATGACAAGATGTAATGATTGAAGCAAAACGCAAACCACTATAGCATGGATAATAGCAAAAATCTGACACATCGTGTCGAAGCCCCGCCAGTCTGTGGAAAGAAGTACCAACCCAAAAATGCCGACGAAAAGTACACKAAAATACAYTSGAAAGCTATAATCTCCGAAGTAGCAAACTGCGCAGAAAAGTGCCTACTCGAAAGTACACTATAATACAACATCACGAAACACTACGTCTGTCATGGATAACAAAAAACTAAACTCAAACGAAATGGCCATGTACTCCTACGAAAGTAGACTACAATACAACATCACGAAACACTACGTCTGCGCAGAAAAACACCCACTGGAAAGTAGAGTATAATATAACCTCACGAGACACTACGTTTGTCATGGATAACAAAAAACTAAAGTACACTCAGAATGTCACGAAAACGCAAGTCCGTGATCCGTCAACGATCGTCGTGCGCATGCGGATCTCGCTCGGACCGATGAGAACCGCCACCTCCCCTCCGACCAGTGCCACGCAGTCGATCTCTCTGACGCTGGCCACCGCGTCTTGCAGCAGAAGGCTCGGGAGCGGCGGGACACTCGCCGGGGTCGTCGTCCATAATGAGTCTCCTGCCTCTCAACGTCCTGCCTACACCTGCGACTGCTACGTCATCACTTCGGCGTGACTCGCGTGCCATAGGTAGACAGTCTGTCCCTGAAGTCTCCCCCTCCTGGCATCGATCTAATGGCACGTGTCTCTCCTGCCTCGGTCGTGTAACAACGTCAGGCTCATGCAAAATAATCGACGCCTCTCTCAAACCGTACGTCAAGGGCGGATCCACTGCGCTCGCTGCGGAAACACCTTCACCCTCACGTATGTCGTCGCCCTGGCCACCGTTGCCACCGCCGCCACCGCCTCTACCACCAAACCCTGAAGCTACAACATCTCGACGTCTCACGGTCGTGGAAGCCCCTCTCAAACCTGGCTGACGACCGGCACTCGCCGTCGTCACCCGTCTCGTCTCGCTCCATGGTCGATCTGTGCGACCGAACAACATGGTGTCCAGCAACTCCCGTGCACGCTGGGTAGTGTCTCTCCGTCTACGGTCAACCGACCTCGGGGTGAGACTGTCGCCCTCCCTCGGAGCTGCGGTCAAGGGTGACGAAGGGCCTGCGGCGCCTCCAGATGGCCCTGCGACCAAACCTCCAGATGGTAAGTCCCCTCCGGCCCCGCCAGATGCCGCTGCGATGGAACCTCCACAAGGTACGCCCCCAGCAGCCCCGCCAGATGGCGCTGCGATGGAACACCCAGAAGGTAAGCTGGGGTTGGCTGGCCCCCAAGATAAGTCCTGCACGTGAGGCAACTTCCCCTCCTCCGGGACTGACCTCAAAATGCGCTGGTCGATCTCCGTCAAATCCCTTCTGCGGTGGTCCTCCAACTCCTCAGCGGTCATAAAACCGAAAGGGAGGCTGCCCCGGGGCGTAGCCACATGCCTAATCTCCGGCCTCGTCCGCGACGGCGCGAAAGCAGGGGCCGGGGGTATACACGCTCCCCTGCCTACACGTCACTCCTCGACCGGGCCCCCGCCATGTGCACGACGCCTATAACCCTCCAAAAATAGTGCCTGATGCGGCACCACTGGCCCCACAGCAGTGCGGACCACCAAAGTCTGTGGCATCTCCTGTCCGTCCGCGTCACGCCTGTCCACCTGTGCGGGGTCCCCCCCGCCAGACGTGGACATCGGATTGGCCGCGGACGGCACCCCCGACCCGCCAACACCAACGGCCCCCACTACGGCCGTGTGTGGTGATCTTGAATATTAGTACTCTAACCAAGTATAAACCCCTGTGTGTGGGACTTTGCCCCCAAAAGCTCTCTCGCACATATTGAAGTAGCCAACCTCCTTAAACATCTCTCATAATACGTTTACACTGTAAAAAGTTATATCTACAAAAGGTGTATAATGCATTGCTAAAAAAATGCGTGTAATTATCTGGATAAAGTTCGATCAACTAACAAATATCAGCAAGTGATCCAAAAACCCGCCAATAGCATGGATTGCTAGGGCTTGGATAATCTATGAAATGATTGTCGAATATAGTGAATATACAAGGTTGTTTAAAAGCGGATAGTTATATCGCCGTAAATATTCAATTGTTGTTTGTATGGTGTAATCAAAGAGTAGAAAAAAAAGAAACAAGAGTATTTAGAAAGGAGATTTCCCAGGGATCTAACACATCAACACCTTCTGGAGGCCAAATAGCTTGATTTTATTTGGGGTAACAAGGGCGCAATTGTGACGAACTGTTTTTTGTAACCGCACGACTTTCTGCGTGAAAATGCTTCGAGGTGCAGGACGGGTCGGTCGCGTGAAGTGCATGGGGATGGGTCGGGTCTGGCCTGTTGCATGGATGCCCACGCATCTTTCTTTTTCGGTTGTTGGACCACGGTCGGGGAAATCCCGCGTTAACGGCTGAATGGGTGCGCCTTAGCGAGCGCGGTGAATAACTGTTGTCATAACTTCTTTCTTGTTCTGGTGTGGAGCTTCGGGTTTTGGTCGCGGGTCGGCGTGCGGGAAAGTGGATTTTCAAATTTTTAACTGCTGTCGAGCCTCCCACACAGGCTCTCAGAATTGTTTTGTTTTTGTTTGGGATTATTCTTTTGCAATTATGACTTAGATAGGAATTTAGGAAATTTGGAATTCTTACTGCGCTGCGCTTCTTGCTTACACACATCTTGTCGCGATAGGAGCTGAGATCTGACTAGACCACGCCCTTAATCTTCTGTGTAACAGTCACTTTTGGCGGACGTGATTGTAACTGTATTTTTTTTCTTTCTTGATTTCCTTGTGCTCCCCGCCATTTTCCTCTTTGTCTCGCATGCTTCATACTCTGTTCTAATTGGCCTAAATACTTGCATGACCGGATCGATGCGTGGAGTGCGGTTACATCACCCACGCCGCGACCTGGCCATGCAGACGTATGCACTTCCTCCCTTCTCTTTCTTCTCACTTAGGCTTAATCCTGCATCTTTCGCGCAGGGTTGCATGTTATAAATTCCGCATGAGCGATAAGTTTTCTCTCTAAGAATTCCGAGGTTCGCGCGATCAGTGAGGGTCAGCTAACAAGCAAGTTTGGAAGGTGAGTGAGCGTGAGAGTTGGGTGATCCGACAGGTTGGTGCTGGGTATGTGGGGTTGACGTGCGGGCCGCGACTGACTGTGGCACACTAGCGAACCTGGCTTGCATATTAGGACCAAGCGGGGTGACAACTTTGTGTTGATGCGTGGCGACGGACTGCCCGCATCGGAGGAGGAGGGAAGCGAGTGAGAGAGAGAGAAGTGGACGGGTGTGGGATAATGTCTCTTCTCCCACCTTTCTATATTTGTATAATTTTGACATTTGGTGCGCGCCATTCTTTTCGGCTGTATCGGATTTTGTATTTGTGACACCTTGATGAATGATTTGTTCTGTTCCCCCTCGTTCTCTGTTTTTCGGTGTAATCGCCATACTCGATTTTTGCGATCTCATTGGTTTTCTTTCTGAATGCATGTCGCCTTTTTTTTTGTTGACTTTGCGAATTTAATGTATGCGTACTTGTCGGTTTCTTGCCCTCATGTGCATGAATAAGTCTGATGGGAATTTCGCTGTCCTAATGGATGCATGAATGTGTGATTGAATCGATGCTTTTGATGCACATTGTGAGTAGGAGATTGGAATTGCGAATTGTTTTCGCGCACTTTTCCGCGTATAAACATTGCCCCGAAAAAGAAAGTTGGATCCACGCGTCGGGTAAACTGACAACTCGTTACCCATCGAGGGTAGGGGGCACGATCTCGTGTGCACACGTGAGTGAAAGATCGTGGTTGTAACGGTTCTTGATTCCTCGGATGATTGGTTGATGATTGATTGTTCGAATGTCTGACTGCGGAGCCACGCCCCGATAGTGTAAACAATTCCAAGATTAAACCAGCACACTAGATAGGGGGAATTGGGAAAGGCGGTGACAATGAGTACTAGAAAGTGACAAAATTTGAATTAAGCTAACTCTGGGCGCATCCTTCTGGTCGACCATCAGTCACGCCCATCTCACCCGTTCGAGGCAAACCCCTCGTGGAACCTCGAGCGCGATACTGTGCACGCACGTGTAAGCCCGACCGAGAAGGATGCCGCTTACACGTGTGTTTGCAAGATCTGCGCTTGAAACCATGACGACACTTACATCAGACTGACAGGATGTTTCGCATGACGGATCGGGAGAGTCCGAGGGACCYGGAATTTCGATAGTATTRGGAACGAAAGAACGCGTACTTCCTTGCGCAACCCCGACCGGATCCTCCGAAATTTCCCTRCCATCGGGGAGACGMCYGAGTTTGCGACAGGGATATTGGAAAAGCCTTAGATGTCGTTCCCCATGCGGCACAATTCCCTGAGCTTCACACAAGCCACGTCTTCACCGAACCCGGGGTCGTCGTCTTAATAACCCACTGCCCATCCTACYGAGTGGCRTTAYCCTTTCACTACCTCACAGTCWTCCCGTGGCAAGCGATCGCCCSCTACTGGCCCCGAACCCCTTGCTCTGAGTGCCAACGTGACAACGAGTATCGAACCRCRGGATTCGTCCGCCRAACCYGGACGGAGGCGGAGYGACGAGCACACTRCCTCCGATTGCGACCTTYGTCGTCCTATTCCAAAGTATGCAGCGATCGACGACASCGGTTGGTCAGGCAKCGCGACACTCACAACATCCCTCTCGTCCATCAGGTGCGCGATCGGCARCGAMGACARAACCAAAGGAGATGGTAGTTTCATCTCCCGRAAATTAACACGCCGGATACGACCTGTGCCTACCAACTTGCGTAACTATCCCTAACTTGCCACAGGAGATCCCAGTTCCGACCTGAGACTCCACCCCCACTTTCCTAAAATCCTTGGCACACCCCCTTTTCGCACTTCCGGGCCCCCATTCTACTCTGATCAGGAAGTCGCGCTGGGCGTGAGGTTTGGGCGTCACACAGTCACGATTTTAGTTTTGAATGGACTTTAGACATCCCTCGAATCCATYAGACCCCAAAGTTGGGTTGTATACATTCACATTTTTCCTCGCTTTGCCGATGACGAYGTCGCCCCCCAACACGACCACCTCGTCCGGGCCTTCTCARCTTTCCTCTGTCGYCAGACCTCGTTCTGGAGGACTYGCTCTTCTGYCCTGCAACAACCTCTCCCAGCGGACTTCGTGTTTCCTCGCGACCGCTTGACCATTGGTGAGGGGGAGGATCTATGCGCACGAGACATTTGTACMMGTTGCCGCCTGGCYTGCCACACCTCCTCCACATCCCYATATGCTGACGCCCTTCAGCGTCACTTTGCATAACARGCTYGCCCTCAGGTTGTTCCCCCTGTCTCGAGCTCCAGGCRAACACCCACCTAGCTGCGATGTCTCGTCCCTTTGAGCCCCCTACGGTATCAGACATACCCGTTCGAGACTCTCCCTCTATGCCGCTCGCTACTGTCCCCGACGACTCTGTTGGGAGAACTTGGGACTATATTTTGGATTTCTCCTAGTGATGCTAGTGTTGTTCCTCCTTCCTCTCCTAGCGCCTCTCATGACCCTCCTCCTCCACGTCCTCCCACTAGGCGTGCTGTTCGCACGGCCCGTTGCAGTGCTTCCCTTGTAGCAGTCGAGGATGTCATTGACTTCCTGGACCTCGAGTGTGTTAAGGTCCATCAGGAACGCCTCCGCCTCAAAGAGCATACCTWKTTTGCRATACCCCAACACATACACAATCCTGATCACACCCCGGCTATCATCCGAGTGTGTCTTGGGACCTCTACTAAGGGTGTATCRCGCACTATGGGRCTCAAGCTCTACCTGCGACTTCATCCACCCTCGCGTAGTTAAGGAGGYCTCTCTTTATRCATCGGCCTACCCTTCTACCGTCACTGTCACGCTTGGCCACAATCAGGCGAAGTCCTTTGTCGGTTGTGTGGTGCCTGATCATCCATTCTCCTTCCCCTTGCGGATGCCCCATAGCTTTCGCAAGGCCCYACGGTTCCATGACCAAAGAAACTTTGACATCATGGTAACCTTATACGATCTTGTTCTCGATACAGAAAACTTGAACCCCCCAAAAAGCTGCCAAAAACATAACTTCCAACACAATAAAAAAAATCATACCATAACTTAAACGAAGTCCCACTCGAACAGCTGATGTTTGATATCCTTCATAGGTGAATTCACATATAACATCGCACCACCATTCCCCCCAGCAAAGGAACAACTTCCACTAGCGCGTGGGGTCAAGCCCTCACCCGGGGCTCAGTTCCACCACTCCCAAAATGTGAAAACGGCAGATGTTGCTCCGTGTGTGCACCCATGAATTGCTCAAATACCAACCCGGGTTCGAATCCCACACCAGATACAAGTAAGTGTGTATGTGACGTACTAGCTTGTGGACCTGCGCCATCTTTCAGACTCCTTTTTTTTCCCATGTTTTTCTGTGCATCTAGAAGTGTAGAGTTAGACTCCGAGATCCCCCCCCCTCTTGTCTCTGCCCGATTAAGG